GGTATTAGACCCTTAGCATTCAGTTTTCCAGCTACTCTGTCAAGATTGCCAGAAATTAAATTAGCAAGAGTATCAGATTTTGCTCGTAGTATATCTCTTGGGTCCCCTACAGCAATATAGACACTTAGTTCAACAAAGGTCTGTTACCTGGACCAGGATTGAGCTCAACATCTCCTGACAAAAGGAGGAGGAAGACCAAATAGAGACCGTTAGCGTTGCTTGTTTTTCCTGATACATGAATATACAAGGTCACTTTGTTATTCATGGTTAGGCTTGATCTTATACCTTTTATTCGAGGAATCATAGAAACAAGATCCTTCATAACGTTCCAACTAGTTGGTTATCCCTTCTGTATAATCCGAGCTGCAATATAATCTCGCTGTTCTCTCCCTTTACTCTTCAGTTCAATGAGTGCATGCAGCCTGCAGGCGTGGTGAGTGGTTTTAGCAGATAATAATAGTATTATAGAGTAATAGAGTATGAATACTTAATATAAAAATAAAAAATAAGAGCCCCCTAATTGTCAACAGTTCCAAAATGTTTGCTAGTGGTGTGGCAACTGTGCCATTGCCATAGTTCTATTAGTTTACTTCCAAAAAATCACGAGAAACAAAGCAAAGAGAAGCAGTGCTACTCCAAGAAAAATCATAGTTGTCGTGACTATGTACAAGAAAAGGAATATAGGAATGTTTAAAAGATGATTAAATTTACCAGAAGATGAAGAATTAGAAGGTGGAGGAGGTTTATCAGCTCCTTCTGTCCCACTTGATTCATTACTAGGAGCAGCAGCTACAAATTAAATGCATATCACCATTAATTTTATTATTTACTATTATTACATCAATATTGGTAAAACTTACAAGATCTTTGCCTCAACTGTCCTCCATCATCAGAACCTAACAACAGAATATTAATATTAATAGTCATGATTTAAAACTATCTCTACGTATTAATAATGACAATTAAATGTAAGTCATGTACTTTCAATTTTTGATGGTTCAGAATGACCTTGATAGTTGACTATAAATTAAAATGTCATCAATAATAATTCATAATGTACTACATACTTTGCTCAACTGGTTGTGATGGAATTATACCGTGTTGGTCTCCTATTATAAGATAAAAAATTTTGTGCTCATAATTAACAAATCACAATAAAAGTTAAGAGACTTTAGGTAAACAATATTTTCATTAACTAACTGATAAAATGAGCTCCTGTTTCATTGATCCTTTCTATAGCATCACACAATGTGCTCCAGTTTGCTCCTCCATTAGCATCAACATCGTCTGTCCTACTCAACCATTTTGAAATGCACGCCTTGAGACATTCTTCAGCTTCCGAATAATCTGATTTGATATTGTTCAGAGTACGAGGGCGTAATCCTAACTCCACCCCAAGACTGTGCCAGCTTCTGTCATTGAAATCTCCATCCCTCAGATCATTGAGCACATCTTTTAGATTTCTGATTGTCAGTGTACTCTGAGATGCTATAGGTAGTTAGTAAAAGTGGAATGTTTTAAAGGTGGCTTTAATGTTAAAATTAAAGAAAAAGTAAAATTAAATGCCAGTTAATTTTTTGTTATTTATATTAATTAATA